AGCCCCTGACAATGAGTATTTAAAACTCCTAGGCTCAAAGGTTAAGAGCACTGGCTGCTCTTCCAAAGGTCCTGAGTTCAATTCCCAGTAACCATATAGTGGCTCATAATCATCTACAGTGAGATCTGGTGCTCTCTTCTGGCCTGTAGGCAGACATGCAGGCAGAACACTCTGTAAGTCTTAAAAAAACAAAACAAGACAAAAACTCCTAGATTAGGAATTTCAACTAAGGTGCTTGCCTGGTATGAGCAGAGCCCTCGACTGGATCCCCAGTACCACAGATCAACCCCCGGAGAGAAAATGAGAGCTTAGGTAGAGTGGTAACCCTGGAAATGGAGGCGCGGAGGAGGCTGGGGAGGGAAGACCCAAAGGAGACTGGCTAGGTTTCAGAGATGGAAGGAATCTCAGAATATTCCTTTACGGAGAACCCTCAGAAAGGCCCGGTCAGGTTGTTTCAAACGGGAGGAAGTGTGTTGGGCTTGTGTAGCCTGGGGTGCTGGCCAGATGCCCAGGTGGAGTTGTGTGCTAAGGAGGAAACTGAACCAAGAAACCGCCTCAGTGTGGTGTGGAGGGGCCGGGTGACAGCCTCTGAGCGACCAGGGGCTAGGTAGCACAGCTTAGGTTGTCAGTAAGGGTTCAAATCCTGAAAGGGGAAGCTGGTAAGACCACCTAAAATTTCTCGGGACCCTTTTGAAAACTGAAGCCCTTGCACAAACACAAGACCGTTGTTGTCCGCGCTGCTAAAGTGAAAAAGGACAGTGAGGAAAACAGGAAGGAAATGCCAGTTAGAGGAAAAGATCAGCGGTTGACCCTTTTCTCAGGAAAGTAGCCCTGTAGTGCCTTCCTGGATGAGTGTGGAGCAGCCGCCAGGCTCTTCCTAGGCTTAAAGGAGAGCACAGTGAGCAGGAGAGGAGAAGGGTCTTGGACACCTGCCTCTGGGCTTAGTGGGAGGGGACATATCTTAGGGGAAAAGCAGAAAACAAACGCGGTCTGTGCTCAAAGCCTGTCACCAGTTGGCGTGGTGACCTTGGGCAAATTCCCTAGCTGTGAAATGGGAGCAGTTCGAAGGTTAGAGATTAACGCCCCCCTTCACAGTGGCAAATAGGTGCTATTGCGTGGTCCAGAACCCGCGATCACAGGGTGGGGAATTCCGTAGCCTCTTCCCTCCCGGAGGTGGGGACGAGGTAGAGGGAGGGCTGCACCAGGAGGAGGGGGCGGAGCTTGCTCCTTGTGACCCGCCCATCCCAGCCTGACCTGGAGCTGAGGGAACACGTCCTGTCGCCTGCGCCCGAACAGCCTGAGCTGGTACCCCGGCGCTCCGACCCGCTCCAGTCATGTCCCTGCGCCCCTTGCTCCTGCCGCTCTCGCTGCCGCTGCCGCTGCCGCTGCTGCTGCTGCTGCTCAGTGGGGCGGGGCGGCGGGCTGAGGCTGGGCCAGAAACCGAAAGTCCTGTCCGGACCCTGCAAGTGGAGACCCTGGTGAGGAGAGCGCCGCCCCCTCCCCCAGCCCCGCGCCGCCGCCTCCACCCTTCGAGGCCCGGGGTCGTGGGGGAGCGCGGGGCCCTAAAGGCAACTGTGAGCCGAGAGGAGAGGAAGTGCAGGAACTGAGTCGGGGCAGAAGGTGCTGGGTCTCCGTAAGGTAACGGGATCTTAGGAGGCGCAGCCTTGACCCTTGTAGTCTGATCATAGGTGCAGCCCCCCGAACCGTGCACGGAATCCGCTGCCTATGGAGACACGCTCCACATACACTACACGGTGAGGGGTCTGGGGGGCCGAGGCGTGGCCTGGGAGGGGGCGGCGCCCTGCTGAAACACGTCAGCCTTGGCTTGGACACGTGGCAAGCAGCGCTGGAGAACTCCGGTCCTAGGGTCGGCTGGCACGTGGGGACGGGAGTGGGGGTGTCCTCTGGCCTGCTGCTTTTACCTCCCTGTTTTCCCGCCAGTTCCTCTCCAGCACTGAGAAAAGAAGGGTGGAGAGATCTCCAAGAAGCACCAGTCCCTTGGGGCTTCCTGTTCCTTTTTGCCCCATGGGGGTGGGGGTTGGAGGAGACGGGGACAGGATGCGAGGCTGCTGAGGGGGTTGCCGCCTGGCGGTGTGTGTGGCCTGTCTTGTGGGGGGAATGGCGGGGGTTAGTTCTCGCTCTTTGTCTTCAGGGCAGCTTGGTAGGTGGACGCATTATTGACACTTCTCTGAACAGAGATCCTCTGGTCATAGAACTTGGCCAAAAGCAGGTGATTCCAGGTATGTGCCCGGCGTCGTTATCCCCTTCCTAACCTAAGCCCTTGTGTAGTGCCTTGGCCGGCTAAATTACTCTGGAAAAGCCTGCTAGAATGAGTAAGACCCCAAGGGTCTTCGGGTACCTCGTGTTCAAATTCCACTTCTAATGCCCTTCTTGTCCCGCACACCACTAGGGAGGGGGTGTAAGAGTTTGAGAAGTGGAGCAAAACTCTTGATGAGGGTCCATCCCGCCTTTGATCTTTCTCTTGGGTGCGGTGGGGAATGCGTGTAGCTTCTAGTTCCATGATGTCTCTTCCCTCAAGGTCTGGAGCAGACCCTTCTGGATATGTGTGTGGGGTGAGTATCTGGACAGGCTGGGCCTCACTGCCCGTGTGGAAGCTTTCCCTGCCATCTGCTATCCCAGTCGGCAGGACTGTGGAGAATAAAGGGCCCCTGTCATATGGGAAAGGCGCAGGTCAGTGGGACCCCTGAGGGCATCCAGAGCTGAGGGGACCTCTCTGGCCATTTTGTTGGGGGAGTTGAGGTGTTGGAGGGAGTTTGCAAACTTTGGTGGCCAACCTGCTAGGTGGAGAGCTTAATGTTTTGGTGTATCAGAGGCAGGTAGGGCCTCTGGCCATCCTTCAAACAGGCTGAGGCTGCCAGCTCACCTCTCTCCTGCCTTCCCTCAGAGAGAAGCGAAGGGCGGTCATTCCTTCTCACTTGGCCTATGGAAAGCGAGGGTACCCGCCATCTATCCCAGGTAATCTGCCCAGGCCTTTTTCCTGCCCTCACAACAGGGCCCTAAGAACCACAAGCTGTGCTCTGTCTAGAACTTGAGGAAGTCCACATCAGCTCTGAGGAGAGAAGTTAGCTGGGGCTCCCATTTCAAGCCCACTCTTTCTCCAGTAGAGGCTACAGACGGCCTGTTAGGGAGCCCTAGCTTGACCTGAGACAGATGGTGACTTTTTCACACCTGATTGGGCCGTGTGGGTCTTGCTGCCAATACTACTTATCCCAGGACACCAAAGTATCTTAAACCAAACGAAAAAGCAACCTTCAAAAGCCCTCACATAGAGCCAGTGAATTGACCGCCAGGATGAGTTGACTTTCATTCCTAGAATTTACCTTCACATATTACTGCTGACAAGGGCAGAGATTGGACAGATTTTCCAAGATGGGTGTGTCTCTTGCTTTGGGTTAAAATACATGTTCTGTTAGGTAAAACATGTTTCTCCACAGAGCTCTGGTAATGTAATTCTTAGACTAGTAAGGGCTTTTAGGGAGCCCAGTATGGGATTTTAGGGAGCCCTGAAAGGAGGGTAGGGAGGACCAGGCAAAATCTCCTTTTCTATTATTTATTTTTATTGTACGTGCATTGGTATTTTGCCCACATATATGTCTGTGTGGAGGTGTCAGATTCTCTGGAACTGTAGTCACAGACAGCTGTGAGTTGCCATGTGGTTGCTGGGAATTGAACCCAGGTCCTCTGGAAGAGCAACCAGTACTCTTAAACACTGAGCCATCTCTCCAGCCCATCTCCCTTAGCAAATCGGGAGTTGTGGTGCACTTGGGAGGCAGAGGCAGGTGGATTTCTGTGATTTGGGGGCCAGCCTGGTCTACATGGTGAGATCCAAGACACCTAGGACTAGAGAGCGAGCCCCAGTGTCAGGAATAAAACAGAACAAAAAGCTTAGAAAACTCTTCCCATTCCCAGTGCTGCTGCTTGGCTTCTGTTTGCAACTGTCTGACTCTCACGCCCTCCGGCCTCCACAAGCATATCTTTCCTCTTTTCCAGCCCTTGTTTGAAAGTCTGCCAAGAACTACATTGCGTGTGCTCATTGGTTGGTAGAGCTTTTAAGGAGATCTGCTTTTATCCCAGTTAATTTTAGTCCTATAAGAATTCTATCCCTGTGGTCCTTGTGGCTGTTTGGAACTGGAGTCCTTTTGGTATAGGGGATTGTCACGTGGGAATGCTCACTGGTGGCACTCCACAGACGCCTGGGGAGTTGAGAGCACAGCTGCAAGACTCAGGTTCAGTCCCAGCGCTCCCATGGCGGCTTGCCACCGTTTGTAGCGCTAGTACCAGGGGGACCCGACACCCTCTCCTTACTCCAAGGATAACAGGCATGTGTGTGGTGTACAGACACACAACAGTCAAAACACTCATATGCATAAAAATAAATCTTTAAAGATTAAAAAACAAATGCTTCCTGGCAAATGTGGAGGGGCCTGTGTGTTTCCCATCTGCAGACTTCCTGTGCTAAAGGTCTGTTCCTGATTGCAAGCCATGTGTTTATTTGCAGTTAAGGTCAACATGCGTGTCCTTAGCCTGCTCCTAGCCCTCTTCTGCATTTGCTCAGGGAACCCAGCCCCACACTTCAAATTGCCAGAGTCAAAGTTGCTTTCTGTGGCCTACCCTCATTTTAATCCCAATTCGAAGCTCTGGATTGAACACAATTCTAACCACCACCCCACCCCACCCCGCAGAGGATGTGGGTGTAGACCCTAACCCCCTGCCCTCTGCCTCTCCAGCGGACGCAGTGGTGCAGTATGACGTGGAGCTGATCACACTGATTCGAGCCAACTACTGGCAAAAGCTGCTGAAGAGCGTTTTGCCTCTGGTGGGCATGGCAATGGTGCCAGCGCTCCTGGGGCTGATTGGGTATCACCTGTACAAAAAGGCCAGCAGACCGAAAGTCTCCAAAAAGAAGCTGAAAGAGGAGAAACGAAGCAAGAGTAAGAAGAAATAAATAGCGGGTTTCTAACAAAACGTTGTGTTCTTTTGGTACCACCCCCTTCCTTTACTGTCTTCCTTATTACCGTGCGCCAGCCTGAGTGTGGGCATCAGACGCCATTGTAAAGTTCTCTCCTTCCACCTGTAGGACGGTTCCGGGATTGAACTGAGGTCTTCAGACTTGTGAAACAAGTGCTCTCCCTGCTGAGCCGTCTCTGTGGTTCCCTTTTCTTCTAAGACAGGGTCTTGCATTTGCTGTGTAGACCAAGCTGGCCTCAGACTCACAGGCCTCCTGGCTCAGCATCAGTTACAGACGTGTAACCCTTCTTACCCGATACTTTGAGGCTGTTTTCTTTTTTAATTTTATTTAATTTCATTTTTGTGCATCAGCATGAAGGTGTCAGATCCCTTGGAAATGGAGACAGTTGTGAACTGCCATGTGGGTGCTGGGAATTGAACCCGGGTCCTTTGGAAGAGTAGACAGTGTGCTCTTAACCATCGAGCCATCTCTCCAGCCCCTGAGGTTGTTTTCATGGGTAGGAAAAAAAAGCATTTTGGATTGAGATCTTGCTTGCAGTTGAGTGGCTAGGGGTCTTGGAGCACCTCTTCCTCTTTCCTGCTCCTGGTGTCCTAACATACCTTGAAGAACTGGCCTTGAATCTGCCTCCTGCAGTGTCTTGATGCTGTGGAGGAAGCCAGTTTCACCTCCTGGTAAGGTACCTAGGCATTCTCTCCCTGGGACCATAATGTCCCTGAAGTAAACAAAGATGATGAAGACCTTACCAGGGCTGAGGCAGGGCTCAGCTGGTATAATGCTTGTCTAGGATGCAAACCCCCTGATCAATCTGAAGCTCCAGCATGGCTGACCTGGGGGCACACACCTGTGACCTCAGAGGGGCGGGAGGATCTGAAGTTCAAAGTCATCCTCAGCTAAACAGGGAGTTTGAGGCCTGGGTGAGACTTTTTGTTTCGTTGGTTGTTTTTATTTTCCTCTGTGGCCCGGGCTGTCCTTGAACTCACTCTGTAGATCTTGCAGAGCTCTGGGCCCACAACCAACCCTAGCGCTGGGTTTAAAGGCATGTGCCTCCATCACCTGAGGACCTTGGGTTAGTTGGTTTGTTTTAGGGAACTTCCAAACTACAGGGAAGTTTTTTTGTCTTACTTTTATTTATTTTTAAGGGATAACTTACTGGTTACATGCAGGGGATAGTGCTAATAAATAACTAGAGTGCAGTCCTGAGCTTCCATCCGAGTCTGTAACAGGGGAGCACTTGGGTTTCAAACAGGAGAACCTCCCGGGGATTTGGAAAGAGGTCCCTTCCTGTCATCACAGGGTGCTGGAAGACAGGATGCGGGAGGCGGCGACTTGGGCCGCCAGATGTGGGCCGCCTCGATGACGTTGTAAATGTTTGGCTGTCCTTTGTGGCCCCGCTGGGGGGACAGCGCAGGCAGGTTGCTCTTGTGGTTCACGATGAAGAGTGGGTTGAGCTGGCTCAGCACCTCGTCGCTCACAGAGATGCCATCTAGGTACTGTTTGAGCATCTCCCGCAGCTTCGCGCTCATGTCCAGCAGCTGTGCCCGCCTGTGCTGCAGGCTCAGGACCTCCAGCTTCACTTTGTTGTATCTTTTCCAGAAATTCTCCATCCCGGAATAGTCCAGCATAAGCTGGGGGTGGAGTCACAGGAGGGAGGTGTAAGGCCACACTCCTGGCACCTGCCGCCTGGCACCTGCCCACCGGGGCGGGGCCCTCCCCCTCTACCTTGGCAAGCTCCTCTGTGAGTTCTTCCGGGTTCTGCTTCTCCATCTCCTCCTGCTCCTTGGGAGTCAGTATTGAAGAATAGAAAGGTAGTACCTTTTCTTCCTCTGTTTCAAATTTCCTGCATATTTCAGCAAGCTTAAGGACCTTTTCACCCTGTTGGGTTTTAGAGAAAGAGGCGTTTTAGGGAAAACAAGATAATTCCCTGCCAGAATTATGCACATGCCTGTAATCCCAGCACATGGGGAGGCAGAGGCAGGCAGATCTCCTGGTCTACAAAGTGAGTCCAGAACAGACAAAGCTACACAGAGAAACCCTTACTCGAAAAACAAGAAAGAAAGAAAGAAAGAAAGAGAGAGAGAGAGAGAGAGAAAGAAAGAAAGAAAAAGAAAGAAAGAAAGAAAGAAAGAAAGAAAGAAAGAAAGAAAGAAAGAAAGAAAGA